GTAATATATGCTGACAGTGCATTTATTTGTAAATTTTTGATGCTAAGTGAGAGAATAATTTGAGAAAAAAAACTATAAATGTAATACAAGGTTAAAACAAAATACACAAAATTAATGTTTTCAGTGTTCTGATTTAAAGAAATATTTATCCTACAATATTTAAATCAGACTACTGCCTTCACACAGCATGCACTGGCACCAGTCATAAAGTATGTCTCAAAGAAGTGAGGACTCTTGTCCAGTCACAATTCAGGCTAGGAATTCAGTAAAGCTTAGGAATTCAAGTAAAGGGTTGAGGCAAAAATGTTTTTGGGACTCTAGGATATGGTTAGTGTTTTTTTTCCTGACAAAAATGTGTTTCATCCAAGATGCACAGAATTCAGTATAAAAAAAAAACACATCTCCTCCTTCTCCTTGTTCCCCTTTTTTTCCCCTATACTTTATGTTTATTAAAACATTCTCACAAAGATTGCACATGAAAACATACAATTGCATGTAAAACCACCACTACTATACAATGATGGTAATATCATGATGGTGCTTTGGAGATATCTGCACTACTGACAATACCGTAGAGAAAACCAGCACCACTGATCATTTTACTAGAAGGCTACAATATTTTGTTCCCTGGATGACTGATGATTTACTTACTGTATGTAATCATGTTCTGTTAATCACTTACTGTGGCGATTTATCTAAGGTTCCAAAGTTGCAAGGAAATGAAAATACTTAGGCTTCTATTAGTACCTGCATCACTCTAGCAAGCTGGTATCTGTCCTACACAGGGACAAACAGGAATCACGTATGAATTGGCATGCACAGAAAAGGGAGACCCATTGGAAATACCCAAAACAGAAATTCAATCTTTTGCCTGTGAGTCCCGGTAGTTGTCTGACCTTTTCTGGCCTCTAAAGTCAGATAAATATACTGAAATTCTATCCTCCTGGAAAAGAACGAGCAAATAATTACTGATCTGGAGTGGAGTTCCTTCCAAAAGGTGACAAAGTCATGCATGTGAACATCGGCAAGGAGAATGAGCTAATCCAATTATACACGTAAACAAAAGGAACAGTGCCCTAACCTGTTTAATCAAAGATGTGAAACTCCTAGGGTAAGTAAGAAATTCATTTAGCTGATCTCACCAGGCTACCTAAGAAATAATTGCAGATACTTATTGTCTTTTAAGGCCCAAAGGAAGGAGAGGGTAAAAACTGACCACCACCATCACTAAATTGCTTCTGTTTTATTTCTTTTGAATATCAGCATTTTAAAGTGGCAAATAAAATTAAGAGTTGAACCTAGGTTGACTTCATATAAAAGCAGTAGTATCCAAGCACCTCAATATTAACTCAGCAGGAATTATGGGAGACAAATATAAAAAAATACATTTAGAAATTAAAACATTATTAAAATTTAGTTTATGAGAATCTCATTTAGAAATTCTGATTAGAACAATAAAGCTCACCAGGTACACTGATCAAATAAGGAAAACAGCATAACAATAGAGACTATTTCAATTAAAAAATACACAGTATCTGTAATATAGGTGGACATTTCAACAGAAGAATGCTTCAACTTTTTCCATTCACGTATATTCAGTCACATTCTAAGTTTTCTTGGATGTGACACCTGAAGACAAAACTTAAGACAAGTCTTAGACATTCAATTAAATTGCACAAATTGTTGTATCTTAAAGCCAGGCATCACAGACGAAAGCATAAATAATTCTTCCTCACAGATCTTCATGGCCGTTTTCAGCAACAGGTGTTAAGAGGTCACTGAATAAACATGGTAAACAAACAGCCTTATACTGTCTAGTTAAAAAAAGCACAAATACAGGAAGTAATAAAATCCATAAATAATGGGTATTTTATGCACGTATATGCATATGAATATATGCATAATTCTTAATGTACACTTTTAACTTTATTCTCTCACTTTTTTTTTTTCCCCTCAAAAGAGCATTCTCACGACTGTACATGTAAGACTGCAAGCCTTCAAAGCAATAAAGAATCAGTATAATAGATATTACAAGCAAGTCTGAAATGCAAGCAATGTATCTAAGCATTAGCTTGTACAATGAAGAGGCTAAACTACTGTTTCTACCCACATAGAGGTATTTGTGTAAGTTATCAGGTAAAATGCTTAGGGAAGAATACAGCCCCAACAAGAAAAAAGAAAAAAGACAGATCTCAAAAAGCTACCAGTCCCCTTAGTAAACATTTTCACAGAATCATAGCATCACAGATTGGTCTGGGCTGAACAGGGCCTTAAAGATCATCTAGTTTCAACCTTTCTGCTGCAGGCTGAGTTTTATCTTCATTTTGCATTTTTATGGCAAAACAGAAATATTAGAAGCAATAAAAATTAACAGACTACTCAGCCAGTTTAGAAAGTCAGTTAGGCTTGCAAATTTGGAAGACATAAAATTAATTTGATGAGGAATTTCATTCTTATTTCAATTGTTATCAATATTCAGGCATTTAATTTTAAAATTCACTTGGGAAAGTTCAGAATAGTATTTGGAAAAGATCCCAGCTGTGATTAGCTATTAGCCTAAATAGCTACATATGTAAATGAAGTTCCTTGTAATGTGACTATTAATGTAACCAAAACAAGAATTCTGAGGTTTTAAAGCTTTTTTTGTTGTTGTTTTTTCCTTTTTCAAAAGGTATAGGAAATTTATCTACTGAGAAAGTTGTGATTTAAAGTAATGTTATTTACCTTAAATGCACTGGTCATTTAATAGCTTCAAGGCCTATTTTAATATGTTTTTCAGTTAAAAAATAGCTTCAACACCTCCACAGAAAAGGTTTGCTAGCATGCCATCCATAATTTTTGTCTTAATAACAGTGTAATCACCAGACAAAATATTAAACTATGAAGAGTCGAAAACATGGTCAGTTTAAGTTGACCACAGACAATGGAACAAATAATCATCTCCAGTCTATGAAATAGATCTTAGATACTAATAAGATGCAGAATCTGGCTTTTTTTTTTTTTTAAACTTCCTGCTGGTGATACTAATGGTCTTCACCTCAAGTATAAACTTACTTAAAAGCAGCACGTTTTCTTCTCTGATGCCCTTAATAAAAAAATAATTTAAAAAAATAATACAAAAGGCATTACAAGATACCTTCTGCCTTTCCTCAAATTCTACACAGAAATTCTCCACAGGCGCAATGTTTACAGATACTTTGTGTCTGACTCAAAGCTCTCATTGTCCTTTTAACTGTCCAAACACTTGTGTTTTCTTCCCTAACTCAGGAGCAAGTCATCAGCAGAAAAGACTTACTTCCTCCATTTGCCTAAAATGTTAGCCTTTATTCATACGTGGACCTCCTACACACAACTACTGTATTTTAAAAATTAAATGTAAAATATTTTATTCAATTGAAATGCATACTTGGGGTGTTCTCTGCCAATCTTTTACTTAAAAAATATATTTCAGATTACTAACTCAGGAAAGCAGAGTTCAGTCCCTCACATGCTAATGACAAAATGAGCATAATCTGAAGGACATCTATGTAATACTAGCTTACACCAATACATGCTTCCCTGAAGCACAGACAGGATAGCCTCACTTGACTAAATAAAAGGATACATTTGCTTGCCTTCACTTACGTTTGCACCTACTTAGGCTTAAGTAATTTAATCTATACAACACTGCTACAACAGTGTTGTGAGTTATTAACACCGTATCATCTCCTGGAAAAGACAAGAATTAGATTGTAATGGGGACATGGTACTACATATGACCACACTGATAAACGTCCTCTGATTTTGAGATATATCCTGTAATCTCCACAGGAGATGCTCTAACAGATGTTCCACAGTTCAAAAGCCCATGCTATAGCCTCTTTTTCAGAATTTCTTCTGACACAGTTTCAATCACACTTACCAAATTCTTCTCTGCTGTGTAATATTAAACAGAACCTCATCTTTTTACTTAGCACTTTATCACAAATCTGTTTAAACATTTCCTTATGGTTTCTCCTATTTCAATTACCACCAATAAAACAAAAGAATTAAGAAAACCATATGAAAAAAGATATTTTCTCTCTGCATGTATGATTTTATATTAGAACTAAATGCTTCTAATTATCATTTGACGGTTGTGAAAATAGCAACTCTGACTATCAAAAACTCACAGGCCAGCTTTTACAATTTCATAGATAATCTAAGACCACCAACCCATCCACCACACCCACTGAGCCACATCCCTTGGTGCCACACCTCCACAGTTCTTGAGCACATCCAGGGATCGTGATTCCACCACATCCATGGGCAGCCCACTTCAAACTTTGACCACTCTTTCAGAGAAGAAATCTTTTCTAATATCCGACCTGAGCCCCCCCAGTGCAACTTAAGGCTGTTACCTCCCATCACTAGCTACCTAGGAAAAGAGACCAACACCCAGCTTGTCACAGTCTCCTTTAAGGTAGACAGCAATAATGTCTCCTCTAAGCCTCCTTCTCCTTTCCAAATCGAACAAACCCAGTTCCCTCAGCCAGTCCCCATAAGGCTTGCACTCCAGCCTCCTCACCAGCTTCACTACTCTTCTCTGGACATATTCCAGGGCCTCAATGTCTTTTTTGTAGTGAGAGGCTCCAAAGTGAACACAGTACTCAAACTGCGGTCTCACTAGATAAAAAACAAATTTACTAAAGTTCAACTGACTGAAATACAGATATCTGTTTAGATCTTTGCACTTACGTTTCTTCAGTTTAAAAAGCAGATCAGTGTTTTAGCCTCAGATGAAAATTAGAGTCTTGTCCCTCTGCATTTGTCTGCTGCTGACTTTCCTTGTTTCCCTAAAAGTGGCCATGCTGAAGTATACTTCCACTCACATCTACTTTTTTGTTCAGTGTTAAGCTGAGCTGCAGTTCCTGGCTCTCAGTGCCCTCAAAAAGGCTGAAAAGTCACTGCAGCCTGGGTCCTGTAAAGGCTTTGTAGAGGCAGCTAGGGACTGCTGTGGCCAGCACCCACATACAACAGCAATGAGCAACCCTGCTGCTACCTGCAAGCTGGCACCTCCAATTCAGGTTACAGGAAGAATACCAAGACAATGCAAAGTTGGGAGAGCAAGGTAAATGATGTAACAAGCACAGAGGAAAGGTTCCACTTTGTGTTTGATGGAAATGAAGACTTGCAATCTGGGTGTAAGCTGAAAAAAGGAAGTAGCTGAAGTTTAAATTTAGCATAAACATCTGCATGTGCATGAATGGATGGGGGAGGTAAGCATAAGCAGCGGCCTGCAATCCTAGCTTGGAAGACAGGAATACACAGGAGGAACACTGGCTTCGCAAAGTTAGAAAGCCACATGATACTGGATGACAGAAGTTACTGCTGATGACGATATACCCTCTAAGTAGGTTTGGAAACTCCTGGTGCGTGCTATTCCACCATTTCTGCAAATATTTTCTTTTCAGATTTTCATATAGTAACAGTTTTCCTGAACCTCTGTACCTACTTTCCTACTAACTATTTTTAAGTCTCTGATAAAAAAAAAAAACGAAAAAAAAAAAAAACATTTTGTCTTGTCTTTCCCTCTGGCTTTATGTTTAGCATCAATTATTTAAATTAAGGCACTTAATGTCAGGCTCCTTATAAATATCATATTCTGTATGTTTAAAAATATATTTCACAAAGGCTTGTAAAGAAGTTTTATATAAAATTTAATTATTTAATGGAGAATCATTTAATAGTAATTTTCTATTCTGTACTCAAAGTTTAAAAGGTGAAACTTCATTAAATGAGTTTTACTTGATTTTATGCCTTACATCAGATGTAATTCAGTAAAAACAAACAAAAAACTACCAAAAAAAAAAAAACAACACACATCCACAAAGCCTCATTATTTCAAAAATGTTCAGTACATGACAAATCAACTGTTTCATTTTCTTTTTCCCCAATTGTTTAAACCACATTTTGGATGATAAAGGTGCCATTTGGAAGGCACCTTTCAATAACATCAGCAGATGCTATCATCCATTGCATCCATGTGTACATGCACAAACAGCTGTTTAGATACACTGACTTATCACGTATATATCATATACATAAATCCAACAGCACTGCGTATAAACAAGTATATGCAGTTTTGATCGTGGGCCCTATATAATTTGCATACTATACATACGAGTGAAATCTATAAACAGATACAGAAATTCAATCTTAATTATCCAAATCAATACTAGTAAATAGTAGAAAGAAGTAGAATAGGTAAAAAAAAAAAACAAACAAAACACAAAACCATGCTGTTACACATATTTCAGCATCCATAGAATCTGGAACTGAGTCAACTGACAAAATTCATTTCTGTGGTCAAAACAAAAAAAAAGAAATCAAAGTCACAATGGAATTACAGAGTGAAGATCACGGAAAAGTGTGCTAGCCCTCTCAGAAACAAATCAAAGAGAAATCCTACCCCACTGAATATCACTGGCACAAACTCCACTGATAGTAACAGACTGATACAGTGCATACCAGATACACAAACCTGTGCCCCAAATTTTTATATGTTAATAGCAACACTGGTTCTACAGAAGGATCTCTCTACCAATGAGATATTTTAAAAATAAAATCTCAGGATTGATTTCAGCCCTGATCTTTCCACTCTGTAGATTCTGACATCAGCTGCAATGAAGGAGAATGACAGTGGGCCTCTGCCACTTTCCTGTATTGCCATGGCATCTCGATGTGCCCAAAGCAGAAGCTAGCATGAAATCCAACAGGATTATGCCCCAGCTCTGCCTGTATGCTGGACAGCTCTATGTGATCAGGTGATGGATGCACAAAGTCGCCCAGCTCCCGAAATTAACCACACGCAGCTGCATTCTCTAGAATAATGACACACAAAAGGGCTCCTAAACTGGAATCTAAAAGATTATGTACTATAAAAATGCATGTCAGGCATTCATAAACACATAATTAATGTTACTCTCATGTTCCCGTCACAAGCCATGTTTAGCCCAATTTAGCAGCTGTGCATACATCTGTATCAGTTGCTGGAATCACTGACATGCATGTCTCAATCTGTAAGCAATAGTAAACACAGTTCTTTGTCAATAATTTCAATCACAGATCCCCTACTCTAAGGCAGAATAAATTGTATTTTTAACGTGTTTTTTGCTAGAGCATAGAATTCTCTTTGCACCATATTGCCTTGAGTATGAACTATTTTAAAGAAATGTATTCCAAGGAAATTCTAATCGAACAGAAAACTATTATTCCCAACTGTGAGCAACCTTCCTCCATCCTCCCACATATGGCTCCAAAATAACCACAATTCACACAGCAGATGCAAAACGAGAACTTTTAGAGACACGCTACATACTGTTATTTTTAAACATGCTGAGGCTGTAGATTAGCGATACGGGCTTACTTTACAGCTCTACCAAAGGGTCTGTGCACGGTCTCAGGCACGTGATTATTTTTTTCTTTTCACATACCTGTGCACTACAGGGAGACAAGTCCACTTTCTGTTCAGTGGGTGCTGTAAGGATTCGAGTGTAACCGTGAAGTATTCAAACACCACGCACTGAAGGCGACCGAAACACGGAAGAGGGCAAACACGCCGTGAACCTCAGCGCCAGACGACACAGAACAGCCCTCACAGCAGGAGGATAGCTGGGGTCTGGAGCCCAGAATCAAGAGAGAGGAATTATTGTCTTCACGACAGAAGAACAGGAGCCCGCAAGCCAAGCAAGGCGTCCATAGCGACACGGAAAGCACTCGGGCCCGCTGCGCGGCCAGCCCGCGCGGGCTTCGCCGGCGCCTTCGGGGCGGCCGACCTGAGGGCCTTCCCAGACGGGAAGGAGATGCTTTCCCCCGGCACTCCTCGAGCAGACACAAGTACGGAGAAGCCCCCTCCCAGCCAAACGTGTGCAGCACGCGGCCCACGCCCTGCGGAACCGAAGCACGAAACCCGGCCACGTCGCTCTCTCCGAGCCAACTTTCGCTTCCCCGGCTGGCCGCAGCGCCGGGGCCGGCGGCGCGGCGGGGCAGCGGCCCCCGCCGTAGCTCAGGGGGGAGGCGCCCAGCCCAGCGCAGCCCGCGGGGCGGGAGGCGGCAGCCCGCCGCGGCCCCTCAGCCCGCTCGCACCGTCCCGACCTCGGGCTCGGGCTCCGGCAGCTGCCAGCCCGGCGCCCGGCCCCCGCCCGCCCGCAGGCAGCGGCCGCCGATGGGACGTCGCAGCCCGCCCCTCGCAGCCCGGACACCTACCCACACCATCCCAGAGCCCGGCGGCGGGGAAGGGGAGTGGCGAGGGAGCGGCCGGTCCTCTCCCTCCGCAGCTCCGCACCCGACAGCGCGGAGGACCCCGAAATGGCTGAACAAAGGGAAGCTCGCTCAGCCGCCGCCGCCCCTCCGATTGGCCGGCGGGGGCGGGCTGGGGGCGGGGCGCGGCGCGCGGGGGCGGGCGGGGGCGACTCCGGACGGTAACCGTGGCAACGGCGGCCTCCCTGCGGCCGCGGCCGGGGGCGGGTGGAGACGGCGGCGAAATGGCCGCCCGGCCGCGCCCAGGACGCCGAGGGTGCCGGCAGGCAGGCAGGCCGGCCCGGCGGCCGGGGGCCGTGTGCTCGCGGTCTCCCCGCCCCAGCCGTCCCCCTCCTGCACACGCTGCCCGTCCAGACCGTGCCGTCTGCACGCACGCTCCGGGCCTTGCGCGCCGCCGTTTTGTCTCGGCTTCCAGAGGCGCTCAGCCCGCTGTTTTTCCAGAGAGCGCCCTGGGGGGACTGCATTACCTCAGCCCCAGCGCTGTGCCAGGCTGCTTCCAAACGTCGCACTAATTTATTTTAAAGGTCATTTTCCAACGTCGGTTATTGCACAGGAATACTGGAATCCTTGACTGGGTGGAACACCGGGAGTTCGTGCACATAAACAGGTCAATCGTCTCCCTGCAGCACTTAGCCAGTTCCATGCTTCCCGTGAGAGCTGTCTGGTGTTCAGCAAGTATTAACACTTCTGTGCTACGCCAGCAATCTCCTCTTGCTGAAGGATCGTGCTGAAGGATCTGTGTGCGTACACCCAAGATGCTCCCCGCTATTAAAAAGCCCAACACACGCAGCCCAGTTAATGACCTAATGTTTGTTTTTTTTTTTTTCAGATGTTATCTTCATGCATAGTGTTCAGAGCATATTGTGCTGTCATTATGGACGACTTACTTGCATTGTACTAATAGCTTAGCACTTACACATCTGATGTTGTCAGTATATACCCACAGACACCGTGAAATCCAAGCTTTCAGCAAACTTGGAGATGCATACATGTGTCTTTGCCTTCCAGTTCAGCTTTTCTGAGTGCAGAGATGTAAGTTCTGTAAATTCCCTTCAGTGTCATAGATCAACACACCAGCCACAGCTATGACATGCAAGCAGTTGTAGGGCTAGGACGCAAATGCTTTAGTTGCAGTTGCTGTCACCAGGAAAAAGAAAATGAGAGCCAAATTCTTGAGCTTCATTATGAAACTTGACAGATTATGAGACATGAGATAGGTCAGGGTAAAAGCTGGTCAAAGAAGCTATTAAAGTTGTTTAACAAGCTTTGTTATATAAAAGAAAGGGAACAAATATTCCAATTAAAAAGTGGTTAAACTGTACCGCAATAAAAATGAGTTTACAATATATGTGTTCCATACATACTATATGCTTTATATGTTAATATGTGGTCCACCTTTACATGGTTCATATGTATGTAAGTGAAATGGGCCCTTTGGCTTTTTAACTTTTTAGATTTCAAGCAAAACAAAACACATGAGATAGCATAAGTAAACACTGCAAGTATAGCAACTGTTTCAAATCCAGGGAAGCACAGCTTTCATACTTCTGTGGTTCATCCACAAAAGATACCTATCTGAATTTCATATGGCATCTGTCAAGTCCTGCCCTGCTTTCCTTATGACATAATGCTATATGATTTGTTGTCTGCCCAGTCCTCTGTTATTCCTTTCCTAACAGTTTTCAACATATGAGTCGGCTGCAATAAAGTTTAACTAACAAGTGGAGGTCTCAGAAATGTATCGAAGTTCAAATCTTCTGACATACTGCAGGGAGCTGGATGGGGCAAAGCGGCTGTAAGTAAGGAGGAGATGTTGGAAGGAGTGAAAGGAAATGATATTTTCTGTATGCTTGATATATTGCCAGTTCATCAGTACTGATATATATAATTTGAAATCAACCTCATACTACCGTTTCTGGCCCTGCTGTCAGTGCAAAGATGTGGGAAGCAGCTTGCAGTAACACAGAGAGTTTAGTGGAGGGAGCTAGAAAAACTCAAGTTATGGTTCTGTATTCTGGTTCCTACTGTAGGTATTTTTAATGAGTTCCCAGTATAAGAAAGCTACAAAACTGGCGTAATCAGCTACTCAGATATTCCTGCTAAAAGTGGTTGAAAAGCCATTGTGGCCACATTGCCCATGTACTTCACATTCCACAATTACCAGAACAGCCTTTTTGAAGTCTATTGCAATTAGTGGCTTTTCACTGGGTGGAGACAAAGGAGGAGAGAATGAAAGATGTGTTACATTTGTCTGATTTTAACCAACCTCAGGCAAGTGCAAAGTACTAGATTTTTGTTAACTTTCTTTAGATTTCTCTGTTTTAATAAAACAAAATATTTATAAGATAGAAGTACATTTTCACAAGAAAATTCTACCTTAATGATCTGTTTCAGATGGTGCTGATTTCTGATGTCCTGCCAAGAACGTAGGAAGGAAAGAAGGACAGAAGATTTAGATAGTTAATGTTTGGATTTGTGTGTAGTTAGTTATACTAACAACATGTAGCAAGATTTGTTCAATGATGTGCAGTTTACATCTTTTGGAAGATGGGAACAAAGTAAGATGCATAACATGTTAAAGACCTGGTCACTGATGATAAGAAACAAATGATTAACTGGAGGTAATTCTCAGACAAAAAGTATCACAGATTAATTAATTTCGTAGAGGAAAATTTCCACTGATCTTCAGTATGTGCAAAATGACTCACCTAACCAATTCCTTTTTTACAAGAATATGAAAATATCACCACTATTTTGCCTATTCGAAAAGTATTTATTTTTCGTTAAATTCATAACCTGTCTCTGTTAGGCTAGGGAATTAGTGAACTCACTGTTGATGCAAATGACCTGTGAACCCTTTCCTCTTAGGTTGTTGCTTGTGAGAATTTCATCCACTTTTTTTTCCAAGCTAAAAATACTTTTTTAACTACCTGTAGGCAAGAGGCGTTTAGTGTTAGTTTTTGGCAAGCTGTCTCAAGTTGCTTTTTGTATCATATAAAGGACTAAAGCACCCTCCTAAAACTTTGGACACACAATTGAAGGTAAATTTAACAGTAGCAAGTAAAGTTGTTACTGCCTCAAGCAATCTGCGGCAGCTGTCTCTCCAAGAGTAATCATAGTATGCCAAATAAGTTTTAAGTGGGATTTAAAATATAAATGCTCTGTAGCATGTTAAAAGGTAAAACACATTAATGTGTTTGAAACAAATCATTAAAGATATATTTTCACTGGACAGGTTGAACTTTGGAAAGGTTAAAAGCTAGTATATTAAATAAATGGATAGGGAAAAGGCGTGCAGCAGGCTATCAACATGTAAACTGATGGCAGTTACACATTAAACAATTATTCACCTGCCCAGGTATCGTAGTTAACAGAAACTTCTCGTTAACAGAAACTTCTTCTTAACATTCAAGTATATCATCTTAATATTGTTCTTTGTTGGCTAGATAATTTTGTTTTGAATAGCACACCATATCCTGTTGGATTCCTGTTTCATAAAGCCGATGGTTGCCCATCTGGAAACAATAGAGATTCATAAAGTGAAGAGATCTTTGGAAACTGCCTGGAGGAGTCGAATGAGTCACACTGACAACATAAATTGTTGCCACTAGCACTGTGTTTTACAAAACTTTTCATTTCATTTGTCATGAGTGGAAAAGTGACAATAGTAGAGACAGTGGAAAAGGTGTAAGTAATGACTGGGAAAGCTCTTCCCCCTTCCCTTCCCATCCTCCTCTCCTCTCCTCTCCTCTCCTCTCCTCTCCTCTCCTCTCCTCTCCTCTCCTCTCCTCTCCTCTCCTCTCCTCTCCTCCCCTTCCTTTTCCCAAGGAAACTTTAAACATCTCACTGTGATTAAGAATTCCTCTATTTAATCATTTTAGCATCATCCCAACCTGGATAAAAGTACATGCACATACAAAGATGTGCACAGAGGTTAGTTTTTATTGACAACAAAGGGAATGGCAGCCCTTCCCTGCTTTCAGAAGTAGTCGCAGTGACTACATTAAACAGAAATTAAAAAGAAATTGAAAAGATCTGTGCATGTTTTACCTACAAGATAGCAGCACTGGAACAAATTGAAGGAAATACTGAGAAATCAGATTATCTGACTTGAAAATGATGAAAAAAATCTTAATTAAAAAAAAAAAAAAAAAAGGAAAAGAAAAAAAAAAAAAAAAAAGAAAAGGAAGGGTGATAAAATAGAGAAGAAAATACTGGGAATTCCAGGTAGATCCAAGATATAGGAGCAGTGCAATTAGGAATAATAATGATTGCCAGTTTTCTCAGTTTATCTAACTGTTTCTTAGAATAAGGTATGGTAGAACCTTCTTTGTTGTTCCTTGATTTCTGTTATTATAAATTACCATATCCTAAAGCAAGAACAGTGAGGTTTAAAACCCAGGTGAGGTGTGTTGCTTTCCCAGTGAAGCTGTCTTTGCTCTGAAGACGCAGCCTGGGCATCACTTCTGGTGCTCCTGGGAGCCGTGGTAGAGCCTGACTGCCCCTGGCTGAGCCTGGTTGGTGAGAGCCCTGCTGGGACTAGCACAGGACTAGTGAGAGGATTTAAATCCTCACTCTAATTTAAATTTAATTTAATTTAAATTAAATTAATGCATCTGGAAGGCTGAACACAGCAGTCTAGGGGATATGCTTGTTTTTCAAAGTGTTTTTTTGCTCAGAACAGTTTGTTAGAGGCTGGTCTAGGACTTGCAGAAATTATTGGAAATTATTGGATTGTGTGATAGCTGGAGGTCCCCCACAAAAAGAATGCAGTTTCTGTTTACTGGGTCTAGTGGGATAACCGAATCCTTTAGAAATGATGAAGAGTAGTTTCAAGAGTCTGCACACAAAGGAGACCCAAGGATACACCTGTATGCATGCAGAATGTCCTGACGGAAATGCATATTTGCAGTATTTGCTCAAATTATATAATTATTTTTCTTTCTCAAATCTCTACTCAAAGAGATGCCATAAAATCCTCATCTAGGGAATGTAAACAAACAATGAATTCTGTCTATAATCGAATTGGCTAGATTTGTGCTAGTTTTGACACAGCTATGTTTTCTATTTGTCCTCTCATCCCATATACTTAGGAAGAAATACAATTACTGATCCACTAGGATACACAATCCCAAAGTGTTCAACCATGATGATATAAAAAGAGAAAATAGTTTCTATAATTTGATTCATGAAGTTATATTTGTAAGTAACTTAATACCACTAGCCACAATGATAACATGACAAGTGTAAATTGCATGAAGCGTAAGAGCTGTATTATGAAACATTTCAGTATTATGAACAGGGGGTCAGGTTCCTTTTTTTCTTTTGTTTTTAATATTTATGCTACACTTACAGGTATAAAGAAGTTGTGTGTCTTTTACAGCTATGGCTTAAAAAGTAATATTCTGAGCAATTAAAAATACTTCAGTGACAGCTACCTTTTGAAAAAATGTAGTAGTTTCTTGAACAGGGCATAACCAATACAATTTAAATAGCATCACTTTATTTAATCCCTAATAGAAATAGTTGTTGAGCACAGTGAACTCAAAGCTGATTTCAAAACAGAACATAGAGTAATGAACTTGTTCGGCATGAGAGAAAAAAATGACAAAAAAGAAAGGGAGAATGAATAATTGGACTTGTGTTTACTTGTATACTATAAATTTGTCAAAGAACAACATCCCTGGAAAGTGTACTGGTACAAGTTGTAAACATTCTTGCTAGGAAAGATGTTTAGAAAGGCACTGACTGACCTTTTCTGGACAAAATATCCCCCTAAACTTCTCTAAGAAGTGTAAGTAGAGATGATCCCGAAAAATACTCACAGTTCTAAGCAGTCATTAACTGAGCTAAGTTAATTTACAGTATTTGAGGTATTGACTTTGGTTGAGTGGCAGCAGAGCTCTTGCCTTGTATTTCTTTGTGATCCCCGGAGGCATTCTGACTGCTGGCCAGAATCATCCTGGAGATTACTGAGGGCATTCACTGTGCAATGTTTCTTACTCACACTCTGTTGTGCTGAAAAGCAGTAATAATTTTACTGTTCTGAACTAAATTGTGTCTGATCTTATTATGGATGTAAAAGGAGAGGTGATACTATGTGATGTCTTCTTAGTTCTTTTGCTTATTCTTGCCTAGTTCTCACCTCCATCTGAAAGGTGGACAATTTGGGAGCGCGTAGTAGACACAGTACTCTCCCTGATACCTCTGCAAGCCTGTGGATCCAAAAGGATACTTCTGTCAAGGCAACTAGGGACATTAAAAAAGGTGCTTCGTACTACCCCAGGCATACTTGTGTCCGGGATGTGGGAGTTGGGAATAGGAATGTGCCCTGTAAGGGATAAAAGTCAGCTGTTTGTACCTTTCAATCTTAGTAACACTGTCTTATTAGATGATGTTTTCATTTTCAAAGAGAAAGTCTATACTCTTAATCTATTTTTATACAGTGTCAGTGTCTCTCTCTTATTGGCCTGCAATAGAAGTCTTCCTTGATTTTTATACAGTGGTATTTTGTAGTGTTCATTGTTGAAAAGAAAAACAAACATCACAGCTGGCAAGATTTTACAGTTTTACATTATATTTTATTAAAAGTAAGAAAAATGTAAATACCAAAATTTCCAGTTTGAATTCTCACAAGACTGTGAAACCTATTACTTTTCTCTAAGTTCTTAACAGTCCCAGGACAATTTATACAGAGAAATTCCCATGCTCCGTTGTACTCAGACAGTGCATTTATATTATATTGATCTCCCATTGTCATAAATGGAGATCAAATTACTTTGGAGCTTATTACAAATTTTGCAGAGCTTGGACTTTGTATCAATCTCCTGGCATTACTGCAGACTCTTTTTTTCTGCAGCCTTTCAAGCTGACCGGTTTCTGCCAGCCTTTAAATTTTCTTGCAGGCTCTTCAGCACAGTTTAACATTCTCTTTTTAAAAAACACTTTACTGTTGTTGTTGTTGTGTTTTATATTTGTCCCTGCATGTCTATGCCCAGCTATCATGCCCACATGGACCATCAGTGATTTCAGATTGGAAATAATTTCCTTAAATAGCAGCTGGTAACAGAGCTTGACAGCCAACACCTCTAGTCCATTAAAACAAACGCACACACACACAAAAACTTGCTTATAACTCTTGGAATATTTTTTTTCCAACTCTGTATATGTAGGTTAGTATCCTTTTTGCTTTGTCTTCTTTAAACAACATTTGTATTCATCAAACATCTTAGCTTCCCTAGCAGTGAAAAAGAGTAATTACCAGTATCTTTCATAGAATCATAAGATTGTTTGAGTTGGAAGAGACCTTTAAAGGTCATCTAGTCTAACTCTCTTGCAATGAACAGGGACACATACAGCTTGATCAGGGTGCTCAGAGCCCTGTCCACTCTGCTCTTGAATGTCTTCAAGGAAGGGTCTTACACCACCTCTCTGGGCAATCTGTTCCAATGCCTCTCCACCCTCATTGTAAAAAACAACTTCTTTATATCCAGCCAAAATCTCCCCTCTTTTAGTTTGGAATCATTTCCTATTGTGTTGCTAAAAAAGTCTGTCTCTTTTCTTGTAGCACTCCTTTAGACACTGAAAGACCTCTCTCAGCTCCTTGTGAAGCCTTCTCTTCTCCAGATTGAACAGCCCCAGCTCTCTCAGCCTGTCCTCATGGGGAAGGTGTTCCATCCCTTAGTTCATTTTTGTGGCCCTTCTGTGGATGTGCTCTAAAGGGTTCATGTTTCTCCTGTATTTCACAGCTGACTGACTTCACAGCTGGATACAGTATACCAGGTGAGGCCTCACCAGTGCAGAGTAGAGGTGCAGGATCACCTTCCCTTATCCTGCTGGCCATGCTTCTTTTCATGTAGCTCAGGATATGATTGGCTTTCTGGTCTGTGAAGGTCCATTGCTGGCTCATATCCAGCTTCCCATCCAGCAGTACACCAAAGTCTTTTTCAAAAGGGCTATACTCTATCCTCACATCCCACAGCATGTATTGATATCAGATGTTGCTACAACCCAGGTGCAAGGCCTTGCACTGGGCTTTGTTGAACCACACGAGATTCTTCTGAGCCCACTGCTCAAGCCTGTCTAGATCTCTCTGGATGACATCCCATCCCTCAGGCATGCTGACCACACTACACAGCTTGCTGTCATCCACAAACTTGCTGAGGGCACAATCAATCCCACTGTTGATGTTATTGATGAAGATGTTAAAGAGCACCAGTCCCAGCACTGACCACTGAAGGTCACCACTTGTCACTGATCTCCATTCAAACACTGAGTCACTGACCACCACTCTCTGGAAATGATCTCATAACCAGTTCCTCATCCATCTAACAATCAACCTATCAAATCCATGTCTTTACAATTTGACAGAAAGATGTGGGGTACCGTCTCAGAGGCTTTACTGAATTCCAGGTAGATGATGACATCAGTGGCTCTTCCCTTGTCCATTGATGCAGTTACACCATCATAAAAAGCCATGATGCTGGTCAGGCAGGACCTGCCTTTGGTGAAACCATGGTGATTATCCTGCATCACTTCCTTCTTTCATGTGCCTTAGCATAGTTTCCAGGAGGATCTGCTCCATGATCTTCCCTGGCACAGAGGTAGGGCTTACAGGTCAGCAGTTCTTTGGCTCATCCTTTCTATCCCTCTTAAAAATGGGTATGATGTTGCCTTTTTCCCATCACCAGAAACTTCATTTGACTGCCATGACTTTTCAAATATCATTGAGAGCTGCTTGATAACGTCAACCACTTTCCTCAGGATTCTGGGATGCTAATTGGGACCCATAAACTTGTGGATGTTCAGGTTTCTCAGGTGGTCACAAACCTTATCTTCTCTTACAGTCAGATGGGATCCCCCATTTCCCATCTTCAGAACCATGCCCTCAAGGGCTGTGTGTAGAGCAGCCACTAGTGAAGACTGAAGCAAAAAACCATTGAATACCTCAGCCTTTTCCTTGTCTGTTGTTACTATCCTGCCTGTGTTGCTCACCAGAGTGGCTTCACCCTCCTGGACTTTCTTTTTCTGATTGATATACCTATAGAAGTGTTTCTTATCCTTCTTTACACCCCTTGCAA